GGGGCTGTGCTTCTAATCTAAGTGTCCCCTCCCTGCTGGTGTGAATCCACCAGCCCCTCCGTGGGAGATAGGTGGGCAATCTCCTCTGGTGTGATTTACCGCCTCTGAAAAGCCACTGAAGGGTCAGATATGGGTCAGTTCTAACTTGATGACAATGAGGGTGTTTTAATACTTAAGGTCATGTTTAGACTCTTGGGAACTTGTTATTTTCACCAAGAAAGAAGAAGACAGGAAAAAAAAGGCAAAAAAACGCTAGAGAGGAGCTCTAGTGAGTAACATACATGGTCGTTGTGAGTTGGAATCAGCTTAACAGCAACAGGATTTTATACACATATGATGTTGTTGTTGTTGTTATGTGCCGTCGAGTCGCTTGCGACTCATAGCGACCCTATGTACAACAGCCCTAAGCTCTGCTCTGTCCTGTGCCAATCGCACTGTCTCTGACACTCCCATCCCGATTATCCCAGTCACTGAATCAATCCACCTCATAGAGGGCCTTCCTCTCCTGCACCGTCCCTCCATCCTCCCAAGCATGATGTCCCTCTCCAAGGACCGGTCACTCCTCACAACATGTCCAAAGTATGTTAGACGGAGCCTCAGAATTCTTGCCTCCAAGGAGCCACCCGGTTTAACCCTTTCCAGGACAAATCTGTTTGTTTTCCTAGCAGTCCATGGTATTCTCAATACTCTTCTCCAGCACCACAGCTCAAAGGCATCAATTCTCCTTCTATCCTCCTTGGTCATTGTCCAACTCTCTGATGCATAACAAGTGATTGCTAAGACCATAGCCTGTATCAGACGCACCTTAGTCTCCAGAGAGACACCACTGCTCTTCAGTACTTTGGAGACGTCCCTAACATATGATGGTATATGTCAATAAAAAGAAATAAAACACTAGTCTCTGTGCTGCAGGGAGCTTTGGTGGCCAGTGGTAAAGGACTGGACTGCCGACTGAAGGCAGTGGTTAGAATTCTCTAGCTGCTCCACAGGTGAAAGGTGGGCAATCTTCTCCCATGAGATTAAATGCCTTTGAAAACCTGCTGGAGGGTCAGCTATGGCTCAGTTCCCACCGGGAGGTACATGACAGCATGCTGCCACACAGGGACATTATGCTGAGTGAAAGAAGTCAGGAAGGAGCCTGCAGACTAGAGGAGGCGAATCCAAAGAGGCAGAGAGTGGATGAGCGGCCGTCAGCGACCAGGAAGGCGGAGGCTCAGCGCGTGTGGGCAGCCATGGGGCTGCCTTCTGGGCTGAGGAGAGTGCTTGGAATTAGACAGTGGTGGCAGTTGCATAACCTGTGAGTATATTTAAAACCACTGCACAGCACATTCTTCATAGTGTGTGAATTTTAGCTCAGGAAATAAATCTCATTCCTTGAAGGAGGTCCAGTCAGGGGCTCCAACCACTAGCCCTGGCCTTAAACCCATCCCCTACACCGCCTCCTTTTCTCTTCTGTCTAAGCTGAACCACCCGTTCTCATCAAATTCGGTTCTCAGCCTGCCAGGCCCTGCCCCAGGCCCTCTCTCAGCACCCATTTTCCCGCGGCAGCTCCCTGTCCTTTCTGCACCTCATACACCCTGGTCTTCACTGCCGCCTCCTGCACAAGACCACCTCTGTCCTGTCTTCTGGAATGTCTGTGAGGTTGTCCTCAGTTCACCTCCCTCCCGCCCCCTCACGTTGGGATGTGAGATGCTTACTGTAATGGGTACAGAAAGTTTGGGAGATGGTGACATTAGAACATAAATATTCACGATCACTTTGATCAGAATTCTATCAAGACTGTTGACGTTTATCACGGGCGGGCTCTCCAGAGCCAGCTCCCCTCGACTGAAGCCATCCTTTGATCAATGGTCGACGCCGTGGGTACACTGCCACCTGTTTTTGTTTTGAATCCTATTTGGTCTTTCCTCATTTGCATTTAATAGCAAAATTCCAGCTTAGCTGCTATTACTGCGTCTACGAAACCTCTTTACTTACTTGGGTTACACAGTGTAGATCTAGATTTTTAGCAGGAACATTTCACTTTTCTATCTGGTTTCAGGCCTTAGCACCCTCTCCCCACCCTCCCCACTGCTGTAGTTATCTTTGCTGGTTTTATTTTGTCAAATAAAAGACTGATTTAAAGAAACAATCGTGAGACCAAACCAGTTGCCTTCGAATGACTTCTGACTCACAGTGTCCCCACATGGATCAGGGCAGAACTGCACACACAGGTTTTCATGGCTGGGACCTTTCTGGAGCAGATCACCAGGCCTTTCTTCTGAGGCACATCTGGGAGTGGCTTTGAACCACCAAACTGTTATTAGCAGAACACCTAGCCATCTGTGCCCTCCAAGGACTCTTTAAAAGACTGATAGATGATGTTTATGTCTGAAGACTTTTTTTACATCATTTTTCAAAAATTTTTATTATTATTAATTTCCATGAAAATTTACAGAGACTTTAGAATTCATTCATTGTTGCACTTTTCTCCCTGCCCACCCCTTCTCCATGCAGTGCACTCTTCTCTTTGAAAAGTAAAAGTTCCCCCATTGTTTTACAATCCCTCCCCCCAGGTCCACTCCACTATGCAGCCTTCATTCTGGACTCATGTCATGACAGTATTACCTAGTCACATATCCCTTTTAAACAGTTTTCTCCGTCATCTGTTTCAGTGCAGTATACTTTATTCCATCTTTTTCAGTCTCCCTCCAACCCCGATGTCAGTCCTGTTTCATAACAGTGGCACCATGCAGTATTTGTCCTTTTGTGACTGAGATATTTCACTCAGCATAATGTTACCCATTTTGTATAATATTGCATGAGTTCTGTGTTTTTCAATGCAGCATAGTACTCCATTGTGTGGATATACCACAGTTTCTCTATCCATTCGTTTGTTGATGGGCACTTAGGTTGTTGGTGCAATGGCAGACACAGCTCAATGGAATAGAATTGAGAACGTGGAAATCAGCCCATCTACCTATGGCCAACTGATTTTTGACAAGGAGATGAAATCAGTTAAGTGGGGAAACGACAGCCTTTTTAACAAATGGTGTTGGCAAAATGGAAAAACTATCTGCAGAAGACTCAAGCAAGATCCACACATCACTCCATATACAAAACCCAACTCTAGGTAGATCATGGAACTAGGACTAAAGCCAAGGACTATAAACCTCATTAAAGAAAAGCTTGGAAGAACTCTAGTAGCCCTAATCCACAATATAAACAGTCTTCCAAGCATCCTGAACAATCTACAACCAGGAGAAGATAAAACAGATCAACGGGACCCGACATCGTGTTTTAAATAGTGCAAATACATGGTGGGGAAGGCACACAACTCTTTTGCTATTGAGTCAGAACCCACTCCCAGTGACCCTCCAGCAGGCTTTCAGAGCCTGGAAGTCACGTGGGAGGAGATTGTCCATCGCTCGCTTGGGCAGCAGCTGGTGGATTTGAACCACCTGTGTCTGGGATGGCAGTCCAGCTCCTTACTCTCTAGACCGTCGGAACTCCCTGTAAACACAGCAATGCAGAAAGTCCAGAGAGGAAAGCATATGAGCCTACTACTGACTCCACGTTCACCAAAGCCATATCCACAGTGGGGTGATGCAGGACCCCCAGGGTGGAGTTCATGGGGAGTGTCTCTGGGGTCAGCACTGTGGAAGAGATCAGAAAGCTGCAGGACTGGACAGACCAAGAAGCAGGGCCACCACACAGGATGAATCAGCTGACCCCATGGCAGTCCCGGGCAAGGCTGGCCTTCAGGAGTCACCTCAAGCTAGGACCAGTGGCCAGCCAGTCTCAACACGCTGGTCATGGTGGCTGACCTCTGGTGGCAGCTCATTTCAGCTCAGCTGCCCCATGGCGATGGTTGAGGGCTCATGAGTCACAGGCAACACTCCTTCAGCTGGGGACCAGTTCTCCGTCCTAACGGGACCTTGGTGACCTAGTTGCAGAAAGAAGCTGTGGTGGTTCAGTGGAATAAACACTGGGCTTATAATGGAAAGGTTGGTGGTTTTAAGAGTCACTGCAAAGATGAAAGCTGAGATGGTCCACTTCAGCACAGGAGATAGAGCTGAGACGGCCTGCTTCAGTACTGGTGGTAGAGCTGAGGCTGCCTGCTTCAGTACAGGAGATAGAGCTAAGGTGGCCTGCTTCAGTACAGGTGATAGAGCTAAGACGGCCTGCTTCAGTACAGGTGATAGAGCTGAGACGACCTGCTTCAGTACAGGTGGTAAGGCTGAGGTGGTTCGCTTTAGTACAGGAGATAGAGCTGAGATGGCCTGCTCAGTACAGGTTGTAAAGCTGAAGCTGTCTGCTTCAGTACAGGTGATAGGCTTGGAAATGCTTTGAACAGCTCTGCTGTGCTCTGCAGGGTCACTGTTGGTCAGAGTCAGCTCAGGGCTGTAAGTTCTTTCTGAAGGAGTTGGCTCTGGAGAATCTTCTCAGCTTTTTGCCTCCAGCAGCCTCCCTCTTTCCTTCCCGTCAGCCCCTCTCTGCCCTCGGGGCGAGGCCCACACAGCGGGGGCAGCAGGCCTCAGCCTCAGGCAGCCTGAGGAGGAGAAGGAAGGCTTTTTTCTTTTTCTCAAAACAACTTTCTAGGGCTCTGGAGTTATAAAAAGCTCCCATGTGTCATCTCCTGGAAGTTGGACAGCTGGAGAATGCCGCTTGGTGAGCCTTCCCGTCCTCCACACAGAGTATAAATTGTGATTGATGGCTTGAGTTTGGCAAGAGTGATTGGAGTGTATCAGAAACCTGTGGTAGCTGATGTTTGACAACTTCTAAATAAGCATATAATAATCAAGATGCAGTTTTTCAACTGTCCCCACCCCTGTTTCTCATGGATTGAGTACTGCCAACACCTCAGCGAGCCATGGGGACCTCATGCAGGGGGGAGGACCAGCCATGCTGGACGTCCAGTGAGCGGGTGGGCACACCTGTCTTTGTGGACTGCTTGGCTCCATTGAGCACGGCTTGGGATGTGACTGAAGGTGATTCTGCTCCTCTCCCTCCACAGCCCAATGGCTTCCCAGCCCTTGCCTTCCTGCCCCGTGCTGCAGAGGGAAACGCTGTTCCGGTCAGATGAATACAACTACCGGATCCCGGCTCTGCTCTACCTCCCTCAGCAGAAGACCCTGCTGGCATTCTCAGAGAGACGACTGAGCAAGAAAGATGAGCACGCGGATCTGATTGTCCTGCGCAGAGGAGATCATGACACGTCCACCCATCAGGTTCAGGTGAGGGCCCACGAGGTCTTCTCTGTGAGGCTGAGGTGTGGCGGGAGCCCTGGCTGGGTCAGTAGGAGGGGCTAGACCCAGGGAAGGAAAGAAGACGATATGCTGACAGAACCAAGGAGGCTGGGAACCACTCCAGGACGGCCTGGGCAGGTGGTCACCTCGACCTCACACAGGTTCCCCCTGCACAAGTCCAGTTGGCCTGGGCATATCCGTTGGTTGCATGACTTGAAGGTTTGGCGTATCTTTGTATCTTGAGAGTCCAGCACACTGTAGGCACCCTGTCAATGTTTTTGATGGGACAGGCATATGAACAGGCAGGTCAAGGAAGAGAGGGTACAGGGAGGGAGCAGGTGGAAGTCCTGGGTCCCCACGGTCTGAGGAGGTGTTACAGTTAGACACTGTGTTAGATGAAGGGTTCTCTTAGATGACCTATGTAGGGAACCCAACTTCCAGAAAGGATCATCCCAAGAGCCTGTTGGAGGAATGAGTTCAGTACCACTAAACTGGGGTGAGGTGGAGGTGCATTCTTTGGGTAAAATGAAACTGGGGGGGGCACGGAGATGAGGCGATTGCTTAGATCCTGCAGTTCCACTCGGTATATCAAGTAATTTATCTGCTGAAGAGACTCAACATTGACTTCTCAGATCTGAAGGGCATAATTTGTTAATGTCATCACTTTGTGGTCATGCATACAAAGGAGCTGCTGTGAGCATAGGGATTTGGGTCAGGTGGGCCTGGGTTCAAGTCCTGGTTCCACCACTTCCTAGTGGCATGACCCTGAGCAACTCATCTACCACTTCTAACCCTCCTGTTCTCCAGGTGTGAGATGGAGCTAGTGACAACTGTCCCTCAGGTGCTGGATGTTAATGAAGACAGTGGAATAGTGCAGCTTAGGATCGATCTGGGGATGAGTATCTGTTAAAAACTAGAACTGCTAGTTGAGCATGACATATATGACATAGACGAAGCCCACTAGGAGCCCCCAGTGGTGCAGGGCCCCCTCTTCTATTATTCCCAGCCACTGAGTCAGCTCTGACGCATGGTGGTCCCAAGGCTAGAAGAAAACATTACATGCTTCTGTTCCGTCTTTATGATTGCTGGTGTATTCAAATCCATTGTGGGACCTATGCCCCGCTTCCAGGCTGCATTAAGAGGCCATGTTGTGTAGGATATGAGAGGCCACAGTCCCATCCCACCCTACGTTGGTCAAACCATTGAGATCAAAACTAGGGTTTCACTTTTTAAGACAGCAGCTGGGACTAAGGTGATAGGTTGAAGGAAACAGGAAGAAGTTAAGAATGGGCATGGATCACGACATCTTTGTATCTCAGGGCTCACATTGTAGGTATTTTGATGAAAGTGGGCATGGTTGGTACCATTTAGATGAAGAACAGGCTTTGTGGATGAAGTGATGCTGGAAGCCCTGTTCCCTCTGCTCTGGGAAGGGGTTGTAGGGGGATGGAAGTGCTGGTTGAGGAGTTCTCCTAGATGACCTCTGGCTCTAAGCCCCCCGAGGAACGTGCACTCCAAGACGATAGCTTGTCACTGTCCCTGGCTGTGTCAATGTTGAGCTTGTCCTTGTCCTTCTTTCTCATATCCAGTGGCAGGCTCCGGAGGTGGTGGCCCAAGCCCAGCTGGTGGGTCACCGGTCCATGAACCCATGCCCCTTGTATGATGAGAAGACAGGGACCCTTTTCCTCCTCTTCATTGCCGTTCCGGGGCATGTCTCAGAACACCACCAGATCCACACGAAGGTGAACATGGCACGGCTGTGCCAGGTCACCAGTGCTGACCACGGCAGGACCTGGAGCCCTGCCACCGACCTCACAAGCACGGCCATCGGCTCTGCCTACACGGAGTGGGCCACCTTCGCGGTGGGCCCGGGCCACGGCCTGCAGCTCCGCAGCCAGCCCCAGAACCTGGTGCTGCCGGCCTACGCCTACCGGAACCACCCTTCCGTGAGGTCTGTGCCCTTCGCCTTCTGCTTCCTTAGCGACGACCACGGGCGCACGTGGAAACGAGGGCAGTTTTTGGCCCAGGAATCCCTGGAGTGCCAAGTGGCTGAAGTGGAGCTGGGGGAGCGGAGCGTGCTGTATCTCAACGCCAGAAGCTTTGTGAGAGCCAGGGTCCAGGCCGAGAGTGTCAACGGCGGCTGGAACTTTCATCGGTCCCAGTTAGTGAAGGCGCTCGTGGAACCTCACCACGGCTGCCACGGGAGCGTGGTCTCCTTCCCCAGCCCGGGCGCAGGGTCAGGCTCCTCGGAAACATGGCTTCTCTACACTCATCCTACTGACCCAAAGCAGAGGGTCAACCTGGGCGTGTACCTCAACAAGCAGCCCCTGGACCCCACAACCTGGTCGGTGCCTTCACTGCTGGCCACAGGCAACTGTGCCTATTCTGACCTGCAGAGCATGGGGACTGGGCCTGATGGGGCGCCCCTGTTCGGGTGTCTGTATGAAGCCAATAATTACGAGGAGGTGGTTTTTGTCCTCTTCACCCTGAAGCAGGCCTTCCCAGCTGCGCTGTGACAGACAGGAGGCAGCTGGCCGCCCACTGGCCAGAGCCCTCCCTTCTCTCTGCACTAGTTGGAAGGGTAATGGCTTTCCTTTTCTTTGGGGTCCACTGGACCTTAGAGTCAGCTCTTGGTTCTCATTAAAAGGATTTGGTGAGCTCTGCCTCTGGCCTATTCTTCTTCCTTGCTTTAGTTTCCCCAGAAAGTTCGATTTTCAGCTCAGAACAGAAGGAGCCCGGCTACTTGGCGCCCCTCAAAAGGGAGGTGCTGGGAGGTCTTCCTGTGACCACTGTGCACGGCTCACCCCAGGGCCCCGCTGTCAGTCACCCCAGGATTACTGTGGAGGGCTTGAGATGTGACCCTGTTCCAGAGAGAGAAACGGGGGGGTGTGTGGATGTTGTATGTGTGTGTGTTGTATGCATTGTGTGTTGTATGTATCATACATTGTATTATATCATGTGTGGTCTGTTGTGTGTGATATTGTATGTATTCTGTGTTGTAAGTGCTGTGCCTTGTGGATTGTGTTGTGTGCTGTATTATGTGTGGTGTGTGTGCTTTGTGTTTTGTGTGTTGTGTTATGCCTGTGTAGTACGTTGTGTATTGTGTGTGTTGTTCATTGTATGTTGTAGTGTGTGGTGTATATGCCGTGTGTGTTGTGTTATGCCTGTGTAGTGCATTGTTAGTACATTGTGAATTGTGGGTGTTCTGTGCTGTATTTTGTGTGATATATATGCCGTGTGTGTTGTTATGCCTGTGTAGTGCGTTGTGTATTGTGTGTGGTGTGTTGTACTATGTGTACACACACATGCATATGTCCTTCCTAAAATAGCAGAGTCACCCAATAGTGTTGCAGGGAAACAAAGACCCAAATCAAAGTCAGTTCCAGCTCCCTGCAGCCCTGAGACCCGGAGCAGAGCAGTGTCTGCAAGGCTGAAATCTCTGCACTGAACTCTGGTGGCGGGGTCTGTGGGGGGCTGCATTGAGCTCTGGTGGTGGGGTCTGTGGGGGGCTACAGTGAACTCTGGTGGTGGGGTCTGTGGGGGGCTGCAGTGAACTCTGGTGATGGGGTCTGTGGGGGGTTGCACTGAGCTCTGGTGGTGGGGTCTGTGGGGGGCTGAAGTGAACTCTGGTGGTGGAGTCTGTGGGGGGCTACAGTGAGCTCTGGTGGTGGGGTCTGTGGGGGGCTGCAGTGAACTCCGGTGATGGGGTCTGTGCGGGGCTGCACTGAGCTCTGGTGGTGGGGTCTGTGGGGGGCTGCACTGAGCTCTGGTGGCGTGATCTTTGGGGAGCACTTTAACTCACAGCCCATGCCTCTCTAGCAGTTCTAATGCACCAGCGGTCTCAGAGCAGAAATATACTGTGTGATTCGCAGCCTTGGAAACTCAGTGGAGAGTCAGCTATGAGTCAGTTTCAATGTGACAATGAGGGAGAGAGAATTTTAGGGAAGCAGACTCTTCAGGCTTTTATTTTTTCTCCATGGAGCTGCTACTGAACGCAAAACGTCCGTGTTTTAGTTGGAAGATGCATGTTTTAACCAGAGTGCCCCAGAGTCCTCGGAGACGGGACAGGGTCTGAGGAAATGTGGTGTTGGTGTCTTGAGAGGATCCGTTTTCACCATCCTCACCTCTAAGGAGCACCCTTGACTACTTCCTCCAACATAAACATGTCTGTTCTTTTGGTAACTATGGGGTGCTACTCATCGTATAGACCTGTCTGTTGTTTGCCTGAAATGTGAGGCATGGCGGTGAGTTAAGTCTGTGTTGTCTCTTGCTTCTGGATTTAGGGTCTGCCCAGACACTCCAGAATTATTTCATTGGAGATCTTTATTTAAATCTACAAAGGCTCTTTCCCCAACTAAAGTCACATTCACAGATGTTGAGGGGTAGAACCACTGAGCCCACAGTAGGTCTCATCAGTTCTTTCTGCAGATGACTCGGATAGCTCAGAGGACCCAAGGGGGTGGGAGGGACCGAGGCATCTGTGGCTGGAGCTCCTCTGGGCACCTGGCCTTTCTGGGGACAGGTTGGGCCACATGCATAGTAAGAGCGTGGGAGAGGACGCTGACTCACACAGGTTTGGAAGCTGCAGGAGACTCCCAGGTCTCAAGTGGCCTTTAGGGGCCTTTATGGGATGAATACTGTGGATGGATGGACTTGCCACTCCCCCAACTCCCGAACTTAGTCACCTAAGTTGTCTAGTGTTGCTGCAACAGATACCACATACGTATGGTCTTAACTATAAACATCTATCCTGTCCCAGTTTAGGAGGCTAGAGGTCCACGTTTAGGGGAAACTCGGTGGCTTAGTGGTAAGCAGTTGCACTATCAAGCAAAGGTATATAGTTCAACTCCACCAGCTGCTCCATGGGGCAACGATGGGCAGTTTCCTCCTCTGCCGTCTCCCACCTCTGAAGACACGCTGGAGGGCCAGCTATGAGGTGGTTCTGACTCGGCGGTCCACACCACAGCTCTGGGGGCGTCTTCCTCTTCCTGTTAGTTCACAGGTTTTGAGGGCAGTCCTTTATCTTCCAGCACCTGCAGGCCCAGTGTCCCTCGGCGATCTTCATCTGTCAGAGCAACCTTCCTCTGGTTCTAGAATGTTCTCACTGCAGGGACACGGAGTTCAAAACAGGCGCTCCACTCACAGTTCTTCTTTATTGGTGATAGGTCCCCCTGCCCCATATCTGCTCATTTGTTTAATCTCTTAAGTGTCACAAAAGAAATTGACTCAGAATACACCCTATTCCTGAGATTACAACCCGCCTCGTTAGCGCCACCACCTGTCATCCTACCTCAGAAACAGCATGTTGGCTGGAGGCTGTGTACTGTCCAGTCAGAACTGACCCATCACTGCCCCTCCAGCAGGTTTGTAGAGGCCGTAAATCACAAGGGAGGAGACTGCCCATCTTTTTCTCTCACAGAATCTTCAGGAATGTTTCCCAGCAATTTTAATCATAGAATACTATGTGGTATATATAGTTTTAAATGGCTCAAAATAGTATTTCTTAGATTGTAGAAATGATAACAAAGTGTGTAAAAGAACTACCAGAAATACATGCTGGGTTTAGAAGGGACCATGGCACCAGAGACATTATTGTCAATGTCAGCCACGGATACCAGAAGAATGTCTATCAGTGTTTCATTGACTATGCAAATGCATTTGTCTGTGTGGACCATAACAAATTATGGCTGACCTCGAGAAGAATGGGACTCCCGGAACACTTGATTGTGCTCATGTGAAACTTAGACCAGGAAGCAGTCTTGAGGACAGAGCAAGGAAACACTGCATGGTTCAAAATCAACAAAAGAAGTGCATCAGGGATGTGTCCTGTCTCCATGCTTTTTCAATCAAAATTTGGAACACATCATCAAGCTGCTGTTAAGGACCTTTCCAAAGAGCTAAGAGCAACAATATCAGTCTAGAGACTAAGGTGTGCCTGATTCAGGCCAGGGTCTTAACAATTACTTGCTGTGCATCCGGGAGCAGGACAATGACTAGGGTTGACAGAAGGAGAATTGGTGCCTTTGAGTTGTGGTGCTGGAAAAGAGTAGTGAACATACCATGGATGGCCAAGAGAACAAACAGATTTATTCTTGAGAGGGTAAAACCAGGGTGCTCCTTGGATGCAAAGATATTAAAGCTCTGTCATCAATACTTCAGGCATGTTGCCAGGAGGGACCAATCCCTGGAGAAGAACATCATGCTTGGAAAGGTAGAGGGACAGGGGAGGAAGACCCTGAATGAAATAGATTGACACAGTAACTTAAGTAATGGGGGTAGGTGGCTGGAGACAGTGAGCCTGGCTCGGGATAGAGTTCAGAGCTGTTGTATATAGGGGTCGCTATGAGTCTTTCCAGGGCTGTTGTACATAGGGTCGCTATGAGTCGCAAGCGACTCGACGGCACATAACAACAACAACAAGAGTCTCAGGTGACTTGATGGCACATAGCAAGAATAACAAACTCTACACTCAATTACATAATTAGTTACAACTTAATGTCAGCCTTTTCAACAATTTTCTCCTTATTGTCTGTTCATTACTAGTTCTCAAAAAACTTTATAGAAGCTCACAAATACTAATTGCCACAATATTGTAACTAAAATAGACAATTTTATAGAATCAGTGGCTATTAAAAAACATCAGCAGCAATCAAAACAGTAGCGTGCTGCACATACAGATGAAGCCATGGGATTCAGAGTCTGTAATTATGGCAACTGCGACCAGAGCGTGTGAGAAGGTTCAAAGAACAGAGAGTAGGGATGAGGGCGGAGGAGGAGGCAGTGGGGTGGAGTGTGTGTCAGTCATAGGGTCGCACAATTTGATGGGAGGAGGGAGGGGTGGGTAAAGGAAAGGGGAAAGATTCAGTGTGGAAAACAATGTATACAAACTTTGTAAGTAAACCAAGTAGAAAAGAAAAAAATTATAGGAGGGAAAAAATCATTTTCTAGACATTCACTTTGATGTTACTCCTGACAGTGTCATCAGGTGTAGTCTGCGTCCCCCACACCCTCCTAGGGATGCCGCTGGGTCACAGATTGAAGAGAGGGTGGTCTTACAGTGTATCCTCTCGTTGGGACGCTTTTGGGAGTGAAAGAAGGTGCCATTGACAATTATACTTCGTTTTAGGCTGAGTTAACGATTATCCTTTCTCTAAGTTCATAGAGTTTCCAGAGGCCTGGGGTTCTCTCCAGAGAAGCAAAATCCCTTAAATACATGCCCCACCCCCACCCGACCTTGATGACCAATAGAGACCCTCCGTCACGTTTCCGAGGCTGTAAATCTTTACGTGGGGAAAACTGCCAGTCTTTCTCTTGAGGAGTGGCTGGTGGATTTGAACTGCTGATCTTTTGCTTGTCAGCCTGGTACTTTACACATAATGCTATTAAGACATTTCTCCCTCTCTCTAAGAATATCCACTAATAACTGGAATGCTGTTGTTGTTGTTATGTGCCGTCATGTCATTTGCGACTCATAGTGACCCTATATAAAATATGACTAGGAAAATGGAATTTTTTT